TATAGAAAAAATAATTTTTTAAGTTTGTTTTTAAAAAGTTCAAATGAAGTTGATAAATCAAAATTATTCAAAACAATTTTGTTCCAGAGATAAGGTGCACGATATCCAATACAAAATTGATTGAACTTTGTACGACAAAGTGGTTCATTTAAAAAATTATCATTTCAAAAAATATATTTGTTTATTTTTTTGATAAAAAAATCTTTAAAAATAGATAGTGCTGAGTCATCTTTACACTGAAACTTTACATTAAAACAAAAAACACAAAATTTTATAAATGTTGAGTTGATATACATTACAGACATTCGCATCTTTAAATAAAAAATTTGAATGCGTTAAACGATTTTTAAAATATATTAAACGCATAGCGTATTTCTGACAACGATAAAGAAGTAGCAATTTACTTTTGCGTGTGCTTCCCCAAGCAATATTGGGATAATTAATATAACTATGTATTAAGGTTTAAGTTTATATTTGTATATATTTGATGATGTTTTTTAAATTGGGTTCCTTTGACGCTAACAAAGGGCTTTGGAATTGTATAAATACCTTATATGTTTTTCAACCCCCATCTATTTTTTTTTTTTTTGATTACAAAAATTTATTGAAATAAAAAAGGTGTAGGAGGTACGTTAGATACTTTTAACTAAGGTACATCCTCCACCACCTTTTAAGGGGGGTGGGGACTTAAAAGTACGCATGGCAACAGGGGAGGGGGTGTAAAATTTCAGAATTTTTGGCATACGTACTTTATGGACGACCCCTTAGCGATGCTCATTCACTTGTGAATAAATCTTTAAAAAACTTTGTATATGTGATTTTTATGCCTAAATACAATACTAAAATTATGAACAGCATCATCCGACAAAGTTTAATATATATATATATACATATATATATATATATATATATATATATATATATATATATATATATATATATATATATATATATATATATATATATATATATATATATATATATATATATATATGGCTGTAGAGAACTTATTTAAACTGGGGGAGTGGTAAGGGGCTATGAAGAGAAGGGGGGCACGCAATTTGACTTCTAACAATAAAACTTTTCATGATTTAATAGTAATACCTAATGTATAGAGCAATGTAGCATTTTTAAAAGGTTTTTTTTACAAATAAGTTATTATTAAACAAAGCTTGCATATCAATTAAAATATTTTCAAACACATGAGACATTCTTATTTACATAAAATGCATTTTTATTTCCCAAAAGTTATTGTTTTACGGGTAATAAAACGTTTACCGAAAGAAGTTAACTAATTGAAAATATCGGTTAAATGTCGGCTGATTTTCTAAAATTATTTTAAAAAGTGACGCCAAAAATTATAACCCGCATAGAATTTCAGTAATTGGCGGTACCTTTGATCTTTAACTGTGCGTTAACGTCTATCTATTTATAAGTCCTTGATATAATATAGACATCTAGTATATCATTGCATACAATGATATACTAGATGTCTAACTAATCAACAGAAACTGCTACCGCTCATACGCTACTTTTTCAAAATTTAAATTTGAAGTTTGAAAATGTAGCCCATGAGCGGTAGCGGTTTCTGGTTGCCAATGAAGCGGAAGGTTGCGGTAGCACTTTCAAAAATGTTCAACTCTCGAAAACAGTTGTATATTTCTATCAAATAAAAGCCGATCGAAGGTTTAGTTAAAACATCGAACGAAAACCGCAAAAAACTGTTGAAAAGTAGCTGAATGAAACTAATGTTGACAAAAATCAAGTAGAGAATTGCGAAATCTTTGGAAAAGTGAAAGCAAGTAATTTTTAGTGATGAATGTAACTTTGAAGTAATAAATAGAAGAAGCGAAGTTTTTGTTAAAAAATCTGAAAAGTATAGTAAAATCTTTCTGTTCCTAGGTTGCAACTCGGAATTACTTGAGGCGTGTTTGTATTTGGGGCTGCTTTAATTTGAACGGAATGTGTGTAACATTTGTACAGGCCGAATGAACCAACATACCTAAATAGGAACGCTGGAAAACTGCTCGTTTCAATCAGTAGACATGTCTTTTTATCGAAACGAACATTCAATGGTTGCAGTTTCAATAAGATATGGAACTTGCACACAGCTCGATCAGCAGATTTAAAACATATATATTTAAACTTGAACGGACAAAGAACTAGTCAAAGTCAGATGACTAATGCAAGATTTGTTTAACAAAAATTTTTTGAACATTCAAGATTCTTGGAAGACCGAAAAATTTTTGTAAAACAAATCATTTTGGGCCAAGATGCAAGAATTGTTTTACAAAAATTTTTCACGTAAATAAATAAAAAATAAGTTCAATAAATAGTTAGTTTCTATTTGATAATTTAAACAAGCTTTAACTTAAAGCTAAAATTTTATTGCTTATAGTTTAAGCAACAAAATTTTAATTCCTATTTTTTTTTAAACAGTGACACTTTATATGCATATACACTGTCAGTGCATATGCATATAATTCAGTATATATATATATATATATATATATATATATATATATATATATATATATATATATATATATATATATATATATATACAAATAGTATTGCGTACTAAGGTAAGCAATCTGATGTCATACTGAAATAGCCTGCTGCTGGGGGCTTCAGTACATACATCGACTGACAAATAGCCTGACTCGCAGTGGAGTGCTGCTACATCGACTGAGGGTTTGGGATGGGGAAGCAATCGTTTTATTCATCATTCTTCATTTTTTCTTCTTCTATTTCAAAAAAAAAGGTATAGCTCAAGGTAAGCAGAAAAAGTGAGCAAATGCTTATCAAAACACGCTTTAGTAAGGATATATATATATATATATATATATATATATATATATATATATATATATATATATATATATATATATATATGTATATATATATATATATATATATATATATATATATATATATATATATATATATATATATATATATATATATATATATATATATATATATATATATATATATATACATTATATAGGGTTACCAACCATACTCTATAAAGAGTACATATACTCTTTTTAGCAAGTAAAATTATGTACTCTTATGTACTAATTATTTATTTGAGATTTTTTTTTTCATATTCCTAGACTTTTTACAAGATATATACTATTTTTTTGCAAATTTATTACACATGGCAAATCAGAATGAATTTTTAGCATGATGAAGAGTATTTAAAGTTTAAATACTCTTCATCATGCTAAAAATTTTTAAGTTAAATTGAAAATAATTTGCTTTAAATTATATTTAATTTTGCTTATCTGGCAAAAGTCTATTTCTCTTATCAGTTTAAATTGATGAGAGAAATAGACTTTTTCCAGATAAGCAAAATCAAATATAATTTATCGAAAATTATTTTCAATTTATCTTATAATGTTTTATATCAATAAGTAGAGTTTATTTTTGTTTGCATTGTTTAGTGTGATTTTTAAAATATACATGTTTCAGAAATATTAAAGAACTCGCCCATAGCAATATGCATTTGATATACAATACAAATAAATTTTTTTTTTTTTTTTAGCTTTTTATTTTTTGAGTTTTTTTTTTAATTAGAAATTTCAAGATATAGTTCTTTTTTTTTAGAAATTACTAATTACCCCCCTCCTCCACTTCAAAACAAGTGTCGTAGACACAAGCAATCATCAAGTAAAAAAAGATTTTTTACCTGATAATTGCATTTAGCATAAAACTAATAAAATGTAAAAAATATGTAGTTTTATTTATAAATGAAATATATAAATACAGCTCTGTTTTAACTTAATTTATTTTAATTTACTTTAATCGAGCACTCTCCTGAAGATATATGCAAACCAAAATACGTATATATATATATATATATATATATATATATATATATATATATATATATATATATATATATATATATATATATATATATATATATATATTATAGTCTTGCATGATAGTCTAAATTTTTAAAGAGAGCGCTATTAAATCAGACCAAAAAAAGTTCAAAAAATTAAATAGTTTTTTTTTTAAATGATAGATGGCTGCCCAAATGAAATCTTCAGTTGATGTAGCGGCACTTTATTGTAGCAGCAGGCTATAAGATAGTTGATGTAGCAGCACTCCTTTGTAGCAGCAGGCTTTAAAATAGTCTATGCAGCAGAACTTCCTTGTTGCAGCATGCTATAAGATAGTCAATGAAGCAACGCTCTCTTGTAGCAGCAGGCTATAAGATAGTCGATGTAGCAATACTCCATACATGTTTTAAAAATATGTTTTTACAAAACCAAAACACTATTAATTAAAAAAATTTCTGATCATTGTTATTGCAGTTTTTTATAAAACAATAAAACTTAATGTATTTCCGCATGATTTTAATTGCTTTGACTTTAAAATAACATAAAAATGTAGCTTAATTAGTGATGTCTTAAAATTGTTGTTAAAAGTTTTTTATCGTAAAAAAAGTCTGTTTCAACTACAAGATAAGGATATATATATATGTATATATATATATATATATATATACATATATATATATATATATATATATATATATATATATATATATATATATATATATATATATATATATTATACCTTTTTTTGCTTACCTTAATCCATACGGCTTTTTTAGAAAAAAAAGAAAAAAAACAAAGAATGATGAATGAAACGATTGCTGCCCCATCCCAAACTCTCAGTCGATGTAGCAGCACTCCACTGCGAGTCAGGCTATTTGTCAGTCGATGTATGTACTGAAGCCCCCAACAGTAGGCTATTTCAGTATGACGTCAGATTGCTTACCTTAGTACGCAATACTATTTGTATATATATATATATATATATATATATATATATATATATATATATATATATATATATATATATATATATATATATATATATATAAAGATATATTTTCATATGTAGATGAAAGGTATCTGAAAAACATCTTTTTTATTAAATGTCAAAATACTTTTGACATTTAATAAAAAAGATTTTTTTTT